CGGATTGGGGCTGTGGGGGGGGGGGGGTAGGCCGGCCCTGCAGCTGGAACCCCACCCACAGTCAGGCTAAGGGGCAGAGGGGTTCATCCTGGCAGAGAGGGGGCATGGGAGGCAGGTAAGGGTGAGGGACCGACTGACCGAGTCGGGAGGTCAAGGGGAGCGGTGCTGGACCACGGGGGAGGCGGGATGAAGTAGGGAACAGCCTGAGCACGACACAGTTTGGCACCTAAAATCTCTGTTTTTCTGCTCTAATAGGGACCAGCAGCTCCCCCGGCCAAGCCGCCCCACCTGGGTATCTCTGAGCAACACCTGGGCAACGCGAGGGCTCTGTGGCAAGGGACCCCGACAGGTCACGCTGCCCCGGGTGCAGCTCTCGCCCCGGGAATCGGCTCCAGCCAGCACCTTCGTTTCGTTTTAAAAGCAGCTGCCTTCAATTCACGGCTCTGACATTATGCCTCCAAACCGAAGCAGCTGCCGAGACTGCCCCTCCCCGGCACACGCTCTGCCCTCCAGCGGAGCCGGCTTCATGTGGTTTCAACACGTTTAGGCCAAGGGTATGTTCAAAGAACCCCTCGTTTCCCACGGTGTGTGTTCGGATACAGGCGCCACAGAGGAGGGAAAACACCTTAACAAGGGTGCTGCTAGTCCCCTTTCAAACGAATAATGCCTAAAGCAACAAGCCACCGGAGAGAGGGAGGCAAAGTTACTCGAGATGAAGATGTTACCGGCCTGCGCACAGCGCTGCCTGGCACCGGTCGTTCGAACACTCCCCAGAAAACAGGTTCGGGATGAACGTCAGACACTGAGAAAGGCGAACTGGCCAGGGGCTCGAATTACAGAACGTGGGAACTTGAACCTCACTGAGGCCCATCCGATATTACCACCGCAGCTGTAAGCCAGAGCTCTGCCAGCTGTTCTAAGCAGCAAGGAATCGGCCAGGTGCAGGGTTGCAGGCACCGCATCGCTGCGACAGCACAGGTGGGGCAAACGGCCCTTTGCGTCCCTCAGGGCTATGAAATCCTCTGATCTTTCCGGCGGAAGCCGCAGCTGTGCAGGAGACTGTATCCCGTGGAGTTCAGCGCGTTGCAGTGGGATTCCCCCGAGTGAGCAGTGGACCGCACCACGGGGCTGGAACCCGGTGGAGTAGGGAGGTCCCGGGGCCCCCTACCAGAGTTGTCGACTCGAGTCCTACGACTTGGACTGGAGTCAGACGTAAGTCACCTAGGCAACTCGACTCGGGTTCATTGTTTGTGACTCGAGCCTCGACGGGAGACTTGCTAATTTTGTTAAATCAACTTGGTGAAAAAAATTGTCCGAAAGTGCCGACATTGACGGCTTGTACAAAAGTGATTTGACATTTTTAAAATTAAGACTTGAGACTCGACTTGGGGCTTGACTCGAAAGTGACTTTAGGGACTCGAGACTCGACTTGAGACTCAAACTGTAGTGACGTGAGACTCAACTTGGACTTGACAATGACGACTTGAAGACAACACTGCCTCCTACCGCCTCCCCAGTCCTCAGCCCATGAGGCCTGCACCCACTTATTGCTGACCTTGGCTGGTAGGCCACTCTGCCCTAGAGAAAGGGGTGTTTATTATTGACTCCAGCTGCTAGGCTGCACTACCCCAAGAGGGCCATGTGTTTAGGACAGGAGTGGAAGAGTAGAACAGGCAGGGTTGGGGACTCGATTTCAAGAACCTTCGGGACTTGACTATTCCCCAAAGGGGGCAGTGACTACCACCCCGCGACACTCACTAAAAATACAGGTTTTGCTGTGAGGGCAGAGTCAAGGAGATGTGGCCATTTTCCGAAGACATTTGGGAGCTGGATGCTCAATTCCCACTGAAAGTCTATGTAGGATGGGCATCAAATTGCTTGTTTCCAGAGCTGGTGCCAAGGCAAATCCTGGAATGGACGTGATCACGTCTAAGCTCAGCTGCCACTATGAAGACCCAGAGACCCCCCATGCCCCGTGCAGGATTCACGCACCTTCTTCTCAAGCCGCTTGTGCTGCTCACTGTCAGACAGGCTCCTGGGTGGAATGGACCTTGGGTCTGATCCCACCTGACTTATGCCCCTTTGGGTCTCCGAAGAGCTCAGCTGTAGGGTAACGAAGGTGGACTCCATCCCCTCCCGCAGGGGCCAAGTCACAGCTGGACTCTCCTGGCCATCTACCGTTTCCCCTCCCGAGAGAAACAAGCGAGGAGAAATGCAGTCGGTTGGGAAAGGAGAAAATACCACTTTATTGTCAATACACAGATCAAGTTCCACCATAAAAATCAGGCTAAAGAATCTTTGAATACACATGAATAAAAATATTTTGCTTCTACAACAAGACTAATTCTGCCACGTCCCTTTCTTGATTGATCACACTGCCTGCAGTTAGACACGCCGCCCCTCCTTTAGGGAGTCCTTTGCGAATGTGACTAAGGGACTCCGCCTTCCCGCCACCTACAAACGCTACATCTTCATGCACAATTGCAAACACTCGCTGGGTACAATACTACTGCATACCTAGAGGAATCGGCGCCGGCGATGGAAGCAAATCCAGTCAGCCCAGCCCAGTCTGTGCAGTGATGGAGAAAGGCAACATGCAGCCCACCTGCGTATTCAGTACGCACCGCAAGCCCCCGGATACTGAAACGAGAGCGATGTACAGCAAAGCTCTCCCCCTCATAGAATTATTCCTATCGATTGATTGCTTGGTTCTTTTCATTCAAAAAGAGGAACTCCTCTCCCAACCCAGCCTGCCGGAGAGAGCCAACAATATGTGATGCCACACACAACGGAGGCGTGTGTTCTTGCTTGCCGCGTAAGCAGTCGCTGGGAATGTCTACAGAACACTGGGGCTAGACAGGTGACATGAGGTGCCCCAACCCGGCTGTTCCGGCTGGGCACTGTAGCGAGTAGTGTCTGAAGGGGTCACAGTCCTGCTACCCGGCGTACAGGGTCAGTAGGCACTAGAGGATGGCATGGTGAGAAGCATCTCCCCTAGCAATGACTCAAGTATGCAAGAGCCGCTAGCATCCAGGAATAGCAATTCCTGCCTGCATACGGGTTACACCGTAACCCGGGCAGCCGGGGTGGTCACGCCAACTGTTCGAGTCAAGGCGCTGCTCGCTCAAGCATTGGCAGAACAGGGGCAGATCAGCCCATAGCCCCGTGGAAAAGTTTCCTTCCCCAGCAGACTTGGCTGAGCCCATGCCACCCAATGTTTCGAGCACAGACGACCTCGCTAGCATTTCGGCATGTGGGACTCTCCCAAGACAGCTGACCAAGAGGTTTGGGAACGGACTGGCTTGCTAGTCCTACCTCTGACTGCAACCGGAAGTGATAAATATTTTAAGGGGCAATTGGAGCAGCCGCTGGCTCGCTTCTTTGCGACAGCAGAGCCAAAGGCTAGATTTAGACGGACAGCATGGGACAAGTGTTGGGCTATTCTAGACAGCTGGGTCCAAGGTACCAGCCATTCATGGAACCGGCCATCTAGAATTTGGGTCACCTTAGCTAAAACACTAGAAATCGCTCCCTACATGAAAACCAAGTGCACGTGTTCTCGTCTTTCGCTGGGCTTTCTGCAAACCTGGCCTTTCAAATTCCAAATGGCACTGACATTCAAAGCGGCTCGCTTTGGACACATTTTCGGGTCTGATGTTACAGAAACGGAACGCTGATTGCTGAAGCAGGTTACCGAACGCGCCTTCTCTCCGGAACAGGTCCAGACAGCAGACTTGCCAAAATGGAAATACCTGCCAACGGGGCGAGGCTGATGAATACTTAGGTAGGGATGGGGGGGGGGGGGAGGGGGGAAGGCCTCCAAGCCCACTGCTCCACAATGCACAATCACTTGTGCACTCTCCTGGGGAGACTGGGCGAGGGGAGGAGGCGGTTGCAACAAATTCATGCTGTGTAGAGTCGTCACGGCGGCGATGCAACGGATGAGGTAGCACTCCACAGCCTTTGCAATGGGGTGGAGTCCGGTTTTAGTTCTAACAACGTGTCCCCCTCCCACACATTTGCATTCAGGAGCCAGAGCATTTTTAAAGGGGGGGAAGTAACAAAAAAATAGCAAGGGAAAAACCAGGCCAGTCTGCCTTTTTGGTACCAGCACCGCTCCGTCCCTGGAGAGGAGCACAAACCACGGCGGCTCGGCTCTCGGTTTCTTTTTAAAGCCCAAGGGATTTCTGCACAAGCTGCTTGGCAATTCTGCTGAACTGGTCTCTGTCCTCCCGCCACATCTTGGAGGCATCGACATTGGCTCCACTTTCGTCGTTTGGTTCTGAAACGAGACACAAGTGGGATGTGGGTGACACACCAGGACCTCAGTTCTTCGCGCGCTGCCTCTGTACAGCCGCCCTCCGGGTGCCTGAGATGCCCTGCGCGCCGGGGGATGCGGGGAGGCTGACAGAGAAGGTCCCGCTACACATGCGGTGCGCACCCCTCCCCTTTGGTGCCAGGACGCAGGAGAGTTTCAGCACGGGCGTCTGGGCTGGGGGTGAGGAGGGTTAAGTGACTGGTGTCCCCGGTGCTTTCTTTGTACAGGTTGTACCTCCCCAAACTGGGACTCTCTGGTCTGGCAGGACCACAGATGTCCCTGGAGCAGAGCCCAGGCACAGCGAGGTCTGGGTGCAGGGCTGAGTGTGCTGCAGGGGGCCAGCAGCTTGGCCAGGAACCCCGTGGCAAAGGGGCTGGGCGGCCTGCTTGG